AACCATTAAATTTTTATATATATATATATATATTTTTTTTTTTTTATATTTCAAGTGTTCATCTCATAATTATATTTACACATTCATATTACCGTTTCCATATATTCATAAAATTTGATTGTATATTGTTTCTGCAATTGGTTTAAACATTTGTCAGGAATGCCCAAATTGAAGGAAGATTTTCAAAAAAGTTGAGAGCAATCTGGATGATCTACATACTGCAAGAGACAAATTCAGAGAAATCATTGACTAAATGTTACAAATCATAGAATCTGCCATGGATATTATTTATAACCTAAACAAAAGAGAGTATGCATATACACTAGAGGAATTGAACAACTATAAGAAAAATAGAAAATAAAGTTTATATCGTCCAAACCCACTTCACAGTATGAAAAAGCAATGTACGTATTTCTTTTATAATAAAAGTGTTATTCTCTATATTAAATTTTATCTTGAGTTTGGTGTTACTCATTAATTGATTGAAAATCATTCTCCATCATAACACGTTAGTTTTGATTTAATTCTTCTATCTTCACACATTGGATGAGTACTACTAATAATTATATAAGTACATTACATATGCATTCCAAAATTCTAACAATTTTCAAGAAAAATGTATAAAGATGGAAGTTAATATGTTTTCAAACCTTGGCTGGAAAGAATCTTATACTGTGAGAAAAAAATTTATCAGTCAATGTCAAAGGTGAAAATGAACTCATTATAAATTTTAAATTCAAATAATTGATCTTCATAATATTAATTGATATTAATAATTATAAAGGTACAATTATTAATTTTATGTTAACACAACTCTGTACATATATAGAAGTTATATTTACTAAAAAACTTGTATAATCTAACAATTATCATCCTTAATCTAATTACTTTATTCTATTAGAATAAATTTGTTTCCAACCTATATATTTCAAAATACCCGTGCAATGCGTGGCCCCGTGTCTATATATATAAGGTTTTGGAAATACATATTCCCTAAATTCCATGATATTTTCCCTAAATGATATAATTTACAGCCAACCCCCCACTCCATCACAGTCAGCAAACAGTCCGTAACAGTGACAGTCCTCTCCGCCTGTAAATTTCCAAAACTACAGGGGTAAATTTGACTTTCTTCCGTTTCAATTATGTTAAAGTGTATGAAACACACCAGCACATTAGTGCGAATGGACGCTGCCCGTATGCCTCTTCTGAAAACTGATACAACTTACGTAAAATTTAATTAAGATGTATATTTTTGTAGATACATACCAAGGATCCTTACTTGATCTTGTTTGATAGAGTGTAATCACACCAAAGGATTATCAATTTGATTTTGATTTTCTAGTTAGAAGAAACATAAAAATTTATTTTGTTTTGTATTTGGATAGACCAATTTTGAGGTGCATCTTATCATATATTCATAAACATAGCATACCATAAAGCAGAAGATCACTTATATTGTAAACGAAGTATGTGCCCACGATTTTGGAATAAAACTTAAACTTCATGAAATCTGGTTAACAGACTGGAAATTTGAGACTTGCTTCGTTTACTTTCTTGTTCTGTCATTTATCATGAAGCAATTGTATTTATGCTATTATTTAATTTATTTTGACTTTATAGATGTGTTTGTTTCAGTATTTTTGCATTATCTTATCCTTATCCTATTCAAAATACACATTTATTTTCTTATTTTGAAAATTTTATTATATTTTATTCAGTTATTTTTAAACTCTCTAGATTTGTTAATTTAACTAAACATTCCCCCCCCCCCCCCACCCCCCCCCCCAAAAAAAGGGGTCAATACGGCGACTCCGACCACCTTCTGACGGTGGTGGCCAACTGCCGGTATTTAATGGGTGGATGATGATGTTTTTATTAATTTTTAATGTTTTATTACAGGGGTGTTTAGTAAATTAACAAACCTAAAAGGGTGATTTATAATTTTTAAATCACACCTCATAATAACCACTCAATTCTTACTTTTTCAAAAATCTAATCCAAAATAATAAAATTCTATAATTTTTGCATTCACTTTTATCAAAGCAGAAAATAACCGCACCAGTATTTAGAGCTTGTGAAACACATAATAAACTATTATTTAGTTCCGAAAGAGAAAAGTTTGCATAAATGGAAGGCTCAGGTTTTTAAATTCAGAAAATAATTTTGCACCAATCTATCTGTTTTCTATATTTGGTAGATTATTATCTACATATGATATCGGAGGATTTATTGTAATAGGTTGCAATGTAGTTAAATAGAGTTTGTTGTTTGTAATAGAGTAAATGACTTTTTTCCATCCAAATAATGGTTTAAAGACACATTTTTAGTTACAGATTTTTAAAATATTATTTCACTATCAAAACATAATCTTATTAGTAAATTTTGTTATGAAAAAGGGTAGGATGATAAAAAATCCATTATAAATAAAGGCAGGTCGATTATATTTTTCATACAAAAATTAAAATTTAAAATTGAAGTGCGGAGAATTTAAGGCTAAATGGTTGCCACGTGTTTCCTTTCTAAAATGATTAAACAAATTAATCAAATCTTTAATTAAAAAGTGATTAAAAATTTCTGAAAAACTGATCAAATCTGCCCCTACCCAAGTTTACCTCTCCTGCTCATCCCCACAACAAGAGCTATAACATTTTCTGGTGTTTTAACGGTCTGAAATAAAATAGGCTTAAGCTCAACCCACTAAAAAATCTGATCACTTTCTGTGGAAAATATCTCTTCGTTGTCGACACTTTCTTCTCAGTAATTCCCAATTTTTTTTTTTGTATTTCTCTCAAATAAAATAAATTAAACCCATTTGCTTATCTAATCTTGTTTCGTCATTGAAGTTTGAAGAATTCTGGTTAGAGAGGCAAACAACTATGCTGCCATAGCCTTTGTTGTGGGGATGAGTAGGAGAAGTAAACTTGGGTAGGGGCAGAAGAACTGAGAAGAAAGAGATTAAAAAAATTAAAAAGAAAATGAGAAGAACTAATATAAGAAAAAGAGAAGAAAGTGTAAATGAAAGGGCGAAGAAAGTAACCAAGAAGAAAGAGGAGAACAGATGGAAGAAAACGAAAACGAAAACGAAAAAACAATTTGGGGTTTTTTCATATTTTATATTAACATTATTTTTAATGAAAAAAGGAGGTATAAATTGGTAATTTATAACATACGAGTGCATATCGATAATTTCATATTTAAAGAGTGTGTATATTAGTAATTAATTCGTTGATAAATATGGTACCAAACAAATAAAATAAAAATTAAGTCAAATAATAAAGGGTATTTTCATTTTCATAGTGAATTAACAAAAATTATTGATAAAATATAATGTTTTAATAATAAAATGATATTTTAAATGTCAATGGATAAAAAAATATCATTTAGCAAATGTTTGATTGAGAAAAAGTCATTTACTCTTTAGAGGCATTTGGTTGGGGGTTATGTAGAATTATTGGGGTTAAGTCATCTTATATCACTTGATTATCATGTTCGGTTGTCAAGTAATATAAAATACCGGTAATTTTCAAATATCAATAATAGTTATTATTGATAATATTGGAAGTAATCTGATTAGTATAAAAGAAATAATCAAATATACAAAAAACTAGTGACAAATAGAAATATGATAACCACGTAATGCTATATCGACATTATTTAAAATATATAATAATTACAAAGTTTACCGAATAGCATACAAGCTATATATATTGATTTTTGATATTGTACGAAATTAAAGTAGCACATTTATTTAATTTTTTATATATTTTTTTTTAAATTGGGAAATCCTAATCCATGTATAGATCACAAACAATATTTTATTGTTGCACAAATTTTGCAGGCCTCGTTTTATTCGTTAAATTTGATGAGTAATTGAGGTCAATTAACTTGAGTGGTGTGGACCGTGTGGTCATTATGAGATTTGGAATTATTTACATCCCATCAACTATTTTTTGGGGTAATGTATATATATTTTAGTTAATCTATGCATTTTGTTGATTAAATGTATATATTATCATAAGCATTTCTTTTAATTGGTTGGATGAATAGTGGTTACAAGTGGGTTTTAATTAAGAATTTAATTATGTTATTCACAATAAATTAACGGACATTATTAATAAAATATAACGTTTTAGTAATAAAATAATATTTTAAAAGTCTATAATAGAAAAATATCATTTAGCAAATATTTGGTTGGGAAAAACTCGTTTATTCTTTATAATAATTTGATTAGTAAAAAAATTAGTTGAAGTATTAACTGTGGTTAGCCAGATATATTACCATGGTTAAGTAAAGTAGTTAAGTTTAGATATAAAACTTGGTATAGTTTAGTTGAATGTAATTCGTACAATGAACTAATAAGTCGGGTCCATTTGTTATATTATTTTGGATATGATTTTTGATATGTTTAGAATTGTGTGAAACTAACGAGGGATGATTTAAAAATTAACAAAAACACCCCTTTAGGTTTGCTAATTTACTAAACACCCAAATATATAAAATTTTTGTAAAATGACAAAAATACCCACACCTACAATTGCCAGATTCTGGCCACCATCGTCGAAATCTGGCGTTACGGCACATGACCTATCGGATCTGGTTGTTCGTGTGTCGATATCGCCTTTTTCGATCAGATCTATCATGGATCTAGTCGGAAAAAGCCAAATCCACAACCATTTCTAGTCATTGAGGACTAGCTACGGCCAAAGACGTGGATCTGACTGGAAAATGATAGATTGATATACTATCGACTAGATCTAACTGGTAGTGTGCCATTATACTAAATTTCGATCACTTTTTGATAGTGGTGACTAGAATCTGATAAATATAGATAGGTGAAAGTGTTTTAGTTAATTTTTAAACTTTTTATTTGAGACTGTCTAGTTAAATTAATAAACTTAAATGATTTAAAATATAGTTAAAAAAATATAATAATATTTTGAAGATAATGAAACAAACATTTATTTGGAGGATAAGATCGGGGATGGGATATGAAATATGGAAACAAACGAAGACCCAACAGTAGTCTTTCTTCTTTCCTAAATTCCTGTTCTTCATTTTGTTACAGGTGATGCAGAGAAGTTTACACATGGATCCAAAGAGTGGCTTCAACTCACTAACAAAGACCTTCCGCAGCCTCAGACCTCCCGTTCATCTTCCTCAAGAGCACACTTTCATTTCTGCTCCCGAATTCGTTTTCTCTCTCAGAACCAAATTGCTATGGCCTGATGATTCCGTAGCTTTAATCGACCCTGTCACTGGTCAACAAATTTCCTACTCTGAATTCGCTCGCAGAACTAAGTCCTTGGCGGCCTATCTGCAGAAAGTAATTAAACTCTCCAAGAATGACACAGCATTTATACTCTCTCCAAACTCTCACCAACTACCCATCCTTTACTTCTCTCTTCTTTCTCTCGGTGTTATCATCTCTCCGGCAAACCCACTAGCCACAGAGTCGGAGATCTACCGCCAAGTTCAGTTATCTAAGCCGGTGATAGCATTCGCGGCCTCATCAACAGTTCACAAGCTCCCAAAACTTAAACACCGGACCGTCCTTATCGACTCGCCTGAGTTCGAGTCGATAATGATGAATTCAAGACATGAATTTGATGACGTTGAAGTCAGGCAATCATATCTGGCAGCAATTATGTACTCTTCCGGAACCACCGGAAGAGTGAAAGGTGTAATGTTAACTCATAGAAATTTTATAGCACAAGTTTCGGGCTTCTGTGCAACTGGACAGAAGAGAAAATCTCCGACAGTTGTGTTATTTACGATGCCATATTTTCACATTGTCGGGTTCTTTAATGTTCTCAAATCGGTGGCGTTGAGCGAGACAGTGGTGGTGTTGGAGAGGTTTGATTTGAAGAAAATGTTAAAGGCTATAGAAGAGTTTAGGGTTACACATATTGTTTTAGCCCCACCGGTGGTGGTGGCCTTGTCTAAGGGTGGTTTAACGGACGGCTATGATTTGAGTTCACTTAAGAGTGTTGTGTGTGGCGCAGCTCCTCTTGCAAACGATACGATCACCGCATTTACGGCGAGGTTCCCCACAGTTTTGTTGTTGCAGGTGAGTGCTTGCAAGCGTCGAACTCTTTTTAATTAATTTGTGAGTTTAGTGGAAAAGTTCCTGTGGTGGATTGAGTTTCTCGATTGATGAAGGCTTACGGCTTGACTGAATCGACGGGGGGAATTTTTCGGACTGAAGGTCCCGAAGAATCAATTCATTGGGGCTCTGCAGGGAGGCTTTCAGCGGGATATGAAGCAAAAATTGTGGATCCTGAGACGAGAGAAGCCTTGCCTCCATACCAAAATGGAGAACTATGGATTAGAGGACCATCAATAATGAAAGGTAAATTTGGTTGGAACTAGAAAGCTCAATGTACAATTCTATGTTATTAATCTGATATGATTACATTGAAAACTAGTTTTAATTAATGAACTTGTTATCTCTGATTTGCAGGTTATGTTGGAGACGAGGATGCGACTTCTTCTACTTTGTTACCAGATGGATGGATGAGGACGGGTGATCTGTGTTATATCGATGATGATGGCTTCCTTTTTGTTGTGGATAGACTCAAGGAATTGATCAAATATAAGGGATATCAGGTCTCGTTAAATTATTATCAATTAATTCACTCAATATTTATTAATTTTCTTGTTGATGGTTTAAAGTTTAAACCCCATTTGATTGCCTTCAGGTTGCCCCAGCAGAACTAGAACAATTGCTTATTTCTCACCCCGAGATAATTGATGCTGCAGTAATACCGTAATTTTCTGGCTTAATTTTTTTTTTTTTTTTAATCTTAAATTCTCTCTACATGTACGATTTGAGTTATGCTTATAAAATACTTTATAACAAACTTAATTTGTATGTATAAATGACAGATATCCAGATAAAGAAGCTGGTCAGGTGCCTATGGCTTTTGTGGTAAGACAACCTCAAAGCACCCTCAAGGAAGAAGAAATCATGCACTTCGTGGCAAAACAGGTGCTTTTTCAGCTCCTTGAATTTAATTTTGTTATTTTTTAGTAAGAAAATTTCATGGAATTCTCTAAATCATTACAGACCATCATACACCTCGTCACCTTTTTTTAAAAATTCAAAAGTTTTATTGAGAAACATCCTCTACGACTTTACCTAATTTTTGAATAATGGGTTTTTCTCATAATAACTGCCCTTTTCGAAATCGAAATGATCCTAAATTATAATCAAAATTGTTTCTCTGGGTTTATCTTAATGGGTGTACAAGGTCTGTACATTTGTTTTTGGGAAATTTACTTATATTTAACCCCTTTGTAGGGGTAAAAAGAAACCTAGTTGTTGGGTATTTTTCAACAAAACAAAATCTTCTTCGACATGTGTACTCAATTCTTTTTCTCACTAATTGCAGGTAGCTCCTCACAAGAAGATAAGGCGTCTAGCATTTATCGATTCCATACCTAAGAGTGCAGCCGGAAAGATATTAAGAAAGGAGTTGATTACAAAGGTAGCTCCTTCTCCAGGGACTCCATCAAGGCTTTAATCTGTAACACTAATGTATTAATTCATTGAAATTCAATGATTCAAAAGTTTATAAGATAATATAAAAAAAATAAACTATCATTTAACTACTCTCTCACCACGATTAAATTACAATATATTATCAAGTACATAAGAATTGTGTCAGCCACTTTAAATTAAAATTTTAATAAAACCTTATCTCTCTATCTAAATGCTTTCAACCAATTACAGCACCGAGGAAGGAGGAGAGCAGCTGGTGCCTAGAGAGAGTGTAATTAAAAATGAGAACGTGCCATGACAATGATAGAATATAAATATCAAAAATGTTATACCCACCGAACAATTGCACCGAAAAATTACATCGAAACACATGGAGGCTGTCACGTTGGATGAACGTGGTGGATTGAATACTGACATAAATGGACGGCCGTCCAACGGTTTCGGACGGGCGTCCATACATCCTGGACGGTTCCTTCATAGTGGAATGGACCGTCCATACAAAGTTGATTTGGTTTTAAAAAAACAATAAACGCCCGTCCAACTTTTATGGATGGGCGTCCAGTTGATATGGCTGGACGGTCGTTCATAGTGGAATGGACGAACGTCCAAAAAAATTTTATTTGTTTTAAAAAAAATGGATGCCCGTCCAAGTTTTTGGACGAGCGTCCAAATTACATGGACAGTTGTCGCCAATCCATTTTTTGTGGACGGTCGTTCATATAATGTGGACGGTCATCCTGAAATGATGGACTGCCATCCATTGTTTGCGAATTTTTTTTATAAAAGTAGTTTTAAAATATAACGGACGGTCGTCCACAAAGATGTTGAGAAGGTGGCCTATTGAACAACCTACACTAGATGGACTGTCGTCCCCAGTTTCTGAAATTTTAATTATTTCAAAAATTATTTTAAAATATAATGTAAATATGGACGGCCGTTTCTTGTGTATGGATGCAGTCCATGTCATTTGGACGATCGTCCACATCTGCATCACATGGACTGGTGTTCATATTTGTTGAAATTTTTTTTTTGTTTAATTAATATTAATGAATTGCTTGTCTAATACGCTTCATTTGTAAGCACCAAAATTTTTTTCTTCTCTCCTCTGTCGTCTCCGTCGTTTGTTTTTCTTCTGTTCTTCGTCTACGCCATTTGTTTTCTTCACTTCTCCTTCGTTGCTTTTCACTTCTCCTTCGTTGCATGTTGTGATTCTTTCCTTCGACGCCAGTTGCTTCCTCAACAGCCAAGCACCAGCAGTAATAGCTCGTTTTATAAAGATAACCGAGAAACATAACACTTCTATCAAACCTGTTAAAGCTCGGATTTTTTGTTAAGGTAAAGATTTTTTGACTTATTTTATATATTTATTTAGTTTCATATTCTATTTTGGATTGAATATATGTTTGATAGATAATATTTGTTGGCGACAGTTGTGAACTAGATTCACGAACGCGAAAACTGGTATTAGTTGTGCATGAAATAACTGAATATGGAAGAGTCCAGTTTGCCTTGTTTTAATGATGTTGAGGTAAATTGTGTTTGAAACTTTTTTTAAATATGGTATATTGTATTGTTTATTATGATGTGTTGTATTAGCACATTCTAATTTTCTTTACCATTGAATCAGGAAAATGAATGTGATGAATTAGGAGATATGGGATGTGCAGAGAAAGAAGTGGAGCCTCATATTGGAATGGTGTTTAATTCAGTTGATAGTTTGGTGAAGTATTACAGAAGGTATGGGAATAAAATCAGTTTTGAAGCAATGATACGTACGTCAAAGAAAGGAGATGATGAGGAGATGAGTTACATGACAGTGGCGTGTTCTTGTACTGGGAAGGAGAGAAGTAAATGCAGACATATCTTGAAAAAACAACATGTTGCAAAAACAGATTGTAAGAGTCGAATTAGTGCATTTTTAAATGGTGAATACAAATGGGAAATTAAATCAGTTGTGCTTGAACATAACCATGATCTCACAAGTCCAACGAAAAGAAGATATTTCAAGGTAAACCGAACGATATAACTTTTTGTGAAAATGAGGCTTGAAGTTAATGATCAGGCTGGGATTAGACCACGTAAAAATTTTCAATCATGTTCAGTTGAGGCAGGAGGTGTAGAGAATTTGGCATTTCTACAAAAAGATTGCAGAAATTACATTGAAAAAGTTAAAAGGCTATGACTTGGAGTTGGAGATGCTTCGACAGTGCTAGATTATTTCATGAAAATGCAAAAGAAGAATTCAAATTTTTGGTACATGATTGATGTAGATGAAGAGAGTCGATTGAAGAATGTGCTATGGGTTGATGATAGACGTAGGGCCGCATATAAAGATTTCGGTGATGTTGTGACCTTCGACACAACGTATCTGACGAACAAGTATGATATGCCATTTGTTGCTTTTGTGGGGTTTGATCATCATGGACATTCGACCTTGTTAGGTTGTGGGTTAATTTCACATGAGGACACAGAGACATTTGTATGGCTATTTCGTTCTTAGCTTGAATGCATGGATGTTGCTCCTAATCACTAATCAAGATAAGGCCATGCAAAATGCAATTGAGATTGTTTTCCCCGGTACAAGACATAGGTGGTGTTTGTGGCATATAATGAAGAAACTTCCTAAGAAGTTAAGAGGGTATAATGAATATGAAACTATAAAGTTTACGTTACAAAATATTGTGTATGATTTGTTGACACGTGAAGAGTTCGAAGAACAGTGGAACAAATTCATTGATGTGTATAACCTTCATGAGAATGAATGGTTATCTGGATTGTATAAAGAAAGAGTACGTTGGGTGCCTGCATTTCTTAAAGATACTTTTTGGGCACGTATGTCTACTACCCAACGTAGTGAAAGTATGCATGCCTTTTTCGATGGATATGTAAATTCCAAAACAATATTGAAACAATTTGTGGAACAATATGATAATACATTGCGAGATAAAGTGGAAAAGGAAAGGGAGGCTGATTTTAGATCTTTCAAGTCTTGGATACCGTGCATAACTAATTACCCCATTAAGAAACAATTTCAAAATGCATATACAACTGCAAAATTTAAAGAGTTTCAAGAAGAGATTGCGGAGAAGATTTATTGTGAATTATCTTTCCTGAAAAAGTTTGATTCGTGTGAGGAGTATCAAGTTTTATAAGATGTTTGGTTTGGAGATAGTAATCGGCGTGTTCCCTTTCTGGTATACTTTGAAGAAGTTTCATATAATATTCGTTGCAATTGTATTTGTTTGAGTTCAAAGGGATTTTATGCAGACATGCCATCATTGTGTTGATTCATAAAAGGGTTTCACACATTCCAGATAAGTACATTCTACGGTGTTGGAGGAAAAACATAAAAAGATGTCATACGAAAATCAAGTTATAATAGGTGGAGCATAAACGTTGAAGGACAACGTTTTGAGAAGTTGTCTAATCTAATACTGACAATAGCTGATATGACATCAAACAATGAGTAAGACTGTAACATGTTGATGGAATTGATGACTGGAGTGAAAAATAAGTTGGAGCAGAAGGAAAGTGAGGGAGGGTTTGGTAGTAAAGAGGGGGACAATCCTCCGAAAGAGGGGAATAGTCTGATTAATAGTCCATGGGTAGCTCGCAGCAAAGGTCCTCCTCCATGCAAAAGAAAACAATTGAAGGTTAACGAAATTGTACGTAGGGCTAAAAATAAAAAATTGCAAAAACAAAGACTTGGTATGAGTTATACACCCATTTTAACATGATATTTGTTTTTTAAACATTATTTACTTATTTGAAGTTTATAATAATATTTACTTGATTATTAATGTGTTATGCTACTTTATAGGGAAAGAATCATTAGTAGAGCGAGACAACATTGCTGAAAGTGTACCGGGAACTCAAGTGTTGTCAAATAATATTGTTGCTACTCAAGTATGTGTTATGTATGTTGTATAATTGTAAAAACCTTAAGTTTTCTATAACATGTGCTAAATTGTGGTTATTAAACATTGACAGTTGTCCACTGGTTCGGTTCAGAATCTCGTAGGAAATAGTAATTTATGTACTGGACAGGAGGATGTAAATGATGAACATGTTTCGTTGGGAGAGATTTGATATCATTAACCGGTTGAAGCATTGTTGCATTTGTATTCGATAGAAATTATTCGCATTGTGGTTAATTTCTGACGAATGCAGTTGAGCTATATGCTGAATCAGTTGTTTTGTTTTTATTATTTTTTTTGCTGGTTGGGTAAGAATAGACTGTTGGTTGTAGGGTGTTTGAATTCATAATAATAACGTAAATGTATATATTATCCTTATTCTGAATGTTTTCAGTATATATTATCGTCACATTTCATTTCAGATTGTTCTACTGAGAATTCTAATCTTCGTACATAACATTTATACTGAGAATTAACATTCATATGATATTGGAGAAGTTCAACTAATTGAGAATATATTGTGAAATCAAACTTTATTAATTAACATATTTCCTTACATACAGTTTAGTATTTGAACTACACATAATTACAATTAACATTCATAGTCCGTTCCCTAAAGATGTTGAGAAGGTGGAGGTTGTTAAGTAGTTCTTCATCCTAGTGTAGAGGGTGGAGGCTGACTAGAGGAGGACGAGGCTGGTGACAATTTCTTCATCATGTTGGATATTTCTGTGATGCGTTCGCCAAGGATGTCAATCGTTTCTTCTATTCTTGATACGAACGAGTTGAAATCACTTTGCAACTGATCCTGTTGTTCCTGCATTTTCCTCTCAATATGTGAAAAACCCTTTTCTTGAAACCTTTCGATCCGATCAATTCTGCTTACTATTTCGTCTAAGATATCAGAAGACATTTCTTCTACATTTTGAGAAGATCCATGTTCAATACTCATTCTTCGTCTTTTCCGCACATAAACTCGTCCTTCATTTTCCCCTTCTGGAACAGGGACACCTTCCTAAACTGTTGTCTCTTCCTATATTTCATCCCTAATCAGCAACCATTCTCCTGACACATTCTTTTTAATCAAACCCATTTTAGACAATGTGA